TTTTTTTTTCTGGCAGAACCAGGGATTGAAGTCAGGCCCTTGCACTTGCCAGGGAAGTGTTTATTCCACTGAGCCATCTCCCTGGCCCCTGGTCCTTCACTTATATCCCCCTTCTTTGTTTTTACTTTTGTCAGAGATGGGTATTCCATTGTCATTCAAATATTGTAGGTGCGTGAACTCAGCAAAGTAATACAATATAGTCTAGTAGTCCATAATAGTGGGTTATCCACAGGACTGGCAATGTCAGAAGTTGTTGACTTGAGCCTTTTACAGCTCAGCATATTAATGTAGGTTTACTTTTTATACCTCGTTTTTATACTTTTCTGCAGGATGGTTAAGACCAAGATAAAGCAAGACCTACATAACAAGCAATGTAACTCTTGTATTTGACAAGGTCAGTCAAATCCCCTCAGGATTTACCCTAAAACCCTGTACCACAGTTTGCAGATCCTTTGTCAGTGCCAGCCATGTGGATAATTCACAGCCACTGCTTGACCAGTTTGCTCTCTGTGAAAGCCTGAGAGAACGTTTTCTCACTAGGTGACTCTCCTTAGGCACACTCTACATTGTTGATTACCTTCCTCTGTGGCCCCATAATCTCCTTGATCAGAAAATTTGGGACACAATTGAGTTACAAGATGTTAAGAGTACAGGTTCTTTTATGTCCCGAGACCTCACTGACTATGATTTAAGTTTTCACAATTCAAAATGTGGAGGGAGTAGGCACACTGGTGTGTATCCACGGGCCCAACCATCGTGGGGCTGTTGTGACAGGAGTGCTGAGACCAATAGTTGAAGACTAAACTTGTCAGCACAATGAAGTTCAACCTTACCAAAACCACTTGTGAAGAATCTGAAGAAGACAGAGCTCTGAATGTTATAAAAGGTGAGAGAGCTAGGAAACTCCAAAGATGTATCAGTTAATCATTACAAATAAAATAGCAAATTCTTCTAAAGCCTTTGAACATTAGGTTAAAAAAACCCGAAAACCTCAAAAGGGTCACGGAGAAAAGGTGTAAGAGGGCCAGCCAGATAGTTCAGTGGACTAAAGTGCCTACGTAGGCAGAGCACAGTGGGTTCAATCCCCAGCGTGCTGTGCCATGCCGTCCCCTCAGGGTATGCTGAGACTGTGATTGAGACTAGGCATGGTGGTGCGTGCCTGTAATCCCAGTGCTTGGGAGGCTGAAACAGGAGGATCACTAGGAGTCTGATCTACATAGCGAGATCCTGTAGACCCTGTACTAAGAGCAAGAAAAAAAATAGAGAGAAGTTGTAAGAGTAGAAAAATCATGGAAGCAATAAGCCATAAGCAAGCATAAATGAAAAACTGATCAGAATTATATAAAATTTTAAAGGTTGATGACTTAAAATAGTGAATCTTAGGCTAGGAATATAGTTCAGTGTTAAAGTGTGTAGCACATGCAAGACCTGTGTCTGATCAATGGCACAAATAAAAGCACATCTCAAACAGAAATAGGGAAGTTATTGACAGCAAACAGAAAACAACATTATTATTATGTAAAGCATTAATACCATTTAATATGAAAAAGCTGAAACTCTGGAAACATACCTAGATGGAGACAATAGTATTTACTTTTTTTTTTTTTTTTTTTTTTTTGTGGTACTGGGGATTGAACTTAGGACCCTGCACTTTGAACTCAGGACCCTGCCCTTAGATGGAGATAATTCTCAATGGCTCTCACCAATACTGAATGCTTTGTAAGTTATATACTGTGCATTGTTTTGCACTATCTCTAGGCTACTCATATCGTCTTTCCATCCACAGCAAAAGGCAGTTGTGCATATTGTCTCTTATAAGAAACCTAGCTCCTCTATAGTCAGTAATCCTTTCCTGTAACATGATTTACTACAGGTGTAGGTACTATCTGTTCCTGTAGGAAGTGTAGCTCAGGCAACCAGTGTGAAGATGCTCATATTCTGACTACTGTTCTTGCTGTTAAAATTAAGCCATCCTTTATCTGTGATCAAACAGTAGCCGTAAAACAATGTATGTTCACTTGTTAGCATGAATGTGAAGTAAAATCTCATCTTTCCATTTCTTAATACAAACTGGTATCAAACAAGAAAACATTTAATCTCAATGAAATTTAAAGTAAAAGATATTTTTAGTTATAAATTTAACAAGGATAAAACTGTAATAAAAAATGGAGAAATATTTAAATACATAAAATGGCAGATTTTATACATGTGAATCATTATACACGCATATACCTTCAAAGAAAAAAAGTTGTTTTAAATGAATAGAATATTTAAAATAATACCTTCTTTTGGGAAGGCATAAGGGTGTGTGTGTGTGTGTGTGTGTGTGTGTGTGTGTGTGTTTAAACAGAAACTGCAACTTGAAAACTGAGCTAATGGGCTAATTCCAAATTTACCTGCTTCAAAGAACTAGACATTGTTCTAGGATGTTTACAAGAGGAATGAGACAAATAGTATAGGAAATTATGAGGACAAAATAGCAAAGAAATTGTCTAGCAAAAATCAAAGAGAAGATAGTACAGGGGCATAATGGTGAGCCTTTTAGAGCTTTCAATGATACAAAAATCACTACTGCAGCATGTATACCATAGGTCTGCCACCACTGGGGAGATAAAGAACCACCTGGTAAAAAGATTTCTAAGTAAGTAAGCCACAAGATATACATCTAAGTAACATTTAAAATTACTGCATGGCTGGGGAGATATCTTGGTGGTCTAAGAGCCTGCCTGGCAAGTGCAAAGATCTGAGTCTGATCCCTGGTACCAGCTCCAGAATTCCAGGCACACCATGCCAACCCCGAAACTATGCATGGTGGTGCATGCCTGTAATCCCAGCACTGGGGAGGCTGAGACAGGAGGATCACTACGAGTCTGAACTGTGTAGCAAGACGCTGCATCAAAAAATAAATAAATACATAAATTTCTTTTAAAATTGCTTCCAATTTAGGAACACCTGGGTATGTGTGTGTACACATCTTCCTTAAGTATCCTTTAGGAATACTCAAATGCAGATAACCTTTAAATTAGTAGAAAGAAAATAAAAGGTTTGACTAGAAATCACTAGAACCTATGCAGGGAAACAGAAGGGAGAAATCATTAACATAAACATCAACCTTGAACTATTATACCCACAACTATCTTTTCTATTGGTGGCTACGGACATCTCTGAGTAGAATGTTAAGTAGAAGGTTAAGAAAACACAGTAACTGGCTCTTACTGGAGCAGTAAGTCAAAGTGGACAATTTATAAGTCAAATATAAGCTTAAATTTTATCAAATATTAAGAATCACATTCAACATACAGTGGAAATACAGAAAAACTTTTTTTTGTGTTACTACTAGATCTTCCATAAATTCTAAAGCTACTGCACAAATACTTGCTATTTCTGTGCAAATATTTTATTAGCTATATTTCCCAAATTATTTAATATAATCACATTGTCAAATAATGTAATCATTTTATAAAATAAAAACTATAACAGAGAGGGATTAGAGAAAGTGAAAATGAATAAAATGATAAAATAACATATTTTTCAAAAGTGGATACCTAACAAAAATTTCCATATACTCACTTTATTAACAGCAAAGGCAGTGATAATATCAGATTCCTTATGAATAATTCTTGCTTTACCTCCAGGATAGCCCAAATCTGCTTCTATCTAAATTGGAGAAAATAAAGTGCAAAAATATAATAACCTTAGAATCAGAACAAATGTATGCAAATTTTACATAGTACTTGCATTAATTATTCTAAGAAAACTTTATTTCAAACCCAAAGGTATTGCTTACATGCTAATTATCTGTAAAACAAAAATAGGGGAATTTAAATTTTTTTCAAACTTGCTTTTTTACATTTGAAAAGATAAGTGACAGAACATATGACTTCATTAATTGGTTATCCATCCAAGCTATACTGAATTAATGTTAAAGTCTCAAGATATTTTAATTATTGAAGTAAGATTTATATACCAAGTTTCTTAGTATTATAATCTTTTATTAATATTTTATAAATATTAAAAGATAGGATTGTAGGGGCCAGTGAGATAGCTCTGCAGTCTACGGGACGGTGGTTCGATTCCCAGCACCACATGCTGTGCTAGCCCTGCCCACAGGGCAGCCTGAGAAGGCCAAAAAAGAAAAATAAAAAGATAGGATTGTAAATATTTCCCTTTTTATTGATCAAAAAGGGTCACTGTTGAATATTCTTCCTTTTTTTATTTTTCCTTTTTGGCAGGGATTGAACTCAGGCCCTTGTGCTAGTATTCTACTGAGCCATCTTCCTGGCCCATCTTATTTTTCAAACAACACTTCAAAAATGTAAAGACAGACTGGGGAAATAGTTCGGAGGTCTAAGCATCTGTCTGGCAAATACAAGGACCCAAATTCCATCACCAGTACAGCATGCCGTGTTGGCCCCGGAGCGCCACAGAAGCCATGCTGGCCCCAAAACCAAGAGTGGTGGCGCACCCCTGTAATTCCAGTGCTGGAAGGCTGAGACAGGAGGGACACTGCAAGTCTGAGCTGTGTAGTGAGACCCTCTACCAATAAATAAATTTTTTTAAAAAAATGTAAAGACTGTTCTTAGCTATGCAAAAAAGAAAAAAAAAAGATAGGATTTGTCCAGCTGGCTGTAGTTTACTAACTTCTGGTCTAAAATAACCTTCAAGTTATAGATAAGAAACTTGAGATCTTATCTTAGAAGGTATGCTAACTCACCCAAATCAGTAACTGTTTTGGTAGCTAAGTAAACCCTAATTCAATTTAGTTTACACAAGGGATAAATTCTGTCATCTTAGAGAGGCTATAATATCTTTGAACTCTGAATACCATATAAAAATCAACATTCTTAAAATGAAAGTTGAAAAAGGCACTTTTTAAGAGTTGGAAATGGGCTAGTGAGATAGCTCAACAGACTACAGTGCCTGCTTAGGCAAGCACAGGGACCTTGGTTTAATCTCTGACACCACATGCTGCACCAGTCCTGCCCCCAAGGCAGGCTGAGCTGGTGAGAGTCTGAGTGTTGTGGTGCACCCCTGCAATCCCTGTGCTGGGGAGGATGAAAGCAGGAGGATCGCAAGTCTGAGCTGTGTAGTGAGACCCTGTAAAACCAAATACATTAAAAAAAAAAAAAAAAAAAAGAACTGCTTAATGTTGGATATTATTTAATCTATCAATGTTTTAAAAGGAATGACTATAAATTGCTTCCTCACTCATTGCAAAATGAGGAACTTATTCATTTGAAAATAGCATACAATTGATTTTTTTGCAAAGTTTAAAAAAATATTACTAACACCTGAGCACTGACCACTGAGCTCACCAGGGTTGGCTGACAGTATTTTTGAAAGTGACAACTAAGATGGCCGTATGGCTTAGATCTGAGTTGCTCCACTTTTGAAAGGTGATTAGAAGTGCATCCTGGAAGGGCATATTTCTATCTGGGCTCTACTTCCTGGCGCCTATTAGGTGAGCAGCTTTCATTCAGGGCAGGCCTTTCCACCATGCCATTTCTGTATTTAAGCCTGCTGACCATAGACAAAGATATTTAAAGATATCAGCCAAAACTAAACCTACCCTCTTTTAAACTGTGGTGTCAAGTTGTTCTAGGCATCTGAATTATAGCCCTCAAGGAGACAAGATGACTTTACAACTTGGAAGAGACAGACATTCCTGTATGGACCACACCTCAAGACCAAGACACTAGAGGAAACATAGCTACATACTTCCCCAGGGATGGAAATCAGGAACTGATGTTCTAAATAGGTATCAATCACCTTGAAAGCTCCCAGTCACTAGCCCAACCCCCAACAGGAAGAGACCCTGTCCATATTCATGCCTGCTTGCTCCATGACTCACTTCCCCATTTGGTACTGGATTTAATCAATTTTACCAGAGTAATGGTGCTTGTAACCTTATTGGTTGACCATAGTTTTGTCCCACCTCATGCCCACTTAAGCGCGTTCCCATGTCTTCTCCGTCATTTTAGACCCACCTCACCACATGGTTTTCCTCTATAATATAAAGTCCCTGGAAGAGACAGTTTCCCGGGGACAACCCACCTGGGCTCCCCTTCTGTCCCTCTCTCAGAGGAGCTTTTTTCCCCCAGTATAGTCTGCTTATAACCTGTTTGTTCCTAAAATTCATTCTTCGGTTTTAGAGAACACGAACTCAGCCCAAGTATCTTTTCAGATTGGGAGATCAGTTTTTCTCCCTGTGTCATTTGGAAGTTTCCCTGTAACAAAGTGTTCTGTCTTAGTGAAGAAAATATAGCTGCAACACTTATAGACTCCCAAACCAAGATACTCCTATGGAAATAAAAAATCATCATCATTAGATGTAAAATCAAATCTACTGTAATCTGAAACACGATTGCAAACATAAAAGTTTCTGTATCTGATGAATGGTCTAGCTTCAGTGTAATCTTTAAGGAAAGTCTTACCTCTGGTTCAGCAATAAGAGGGCCCCGGTCCAAAAAGAATGTATAATTTTGTCATTTTATGACAAAATCCCAATTTAATCATGTTTCTGGCTGGTACCTAAAATATACTAAGTGTAAACTTCTAGGTTTTGAAGAAGCTGAGACAGATGACATGTTCATAGAGCAGATGGACCAGCTATTTGGTTAGATAGAGGGAAATGTGATTCTACCAGAACTTTTAAAAATTTTCCATATGCAGAAGGAAAGCTCAAGCAGACATAAACTTCACTGGAAAAACATTCTTGTCCTCTTATTTAAAACTATGCTTCTGAATACTGTGGTATTAAGATGAGTGAATGAACGCTGGTGATGTTTTACAAATGAAGATTCTGAACCCTGTATCAGACATAGAATCAGAATCCCAGAGGAGAAAGGCAAATGATTTGATCAAATAAAAGGAAATACAATTAAGACAATTAGGCAGGGTTCAGATAATGCAGGGTCCTAAAAGCTGTAATAGAGTACTTATGTAATTTTCAGGCTGTGAAGTTGCTAGAGGGTTCTGAAAATTCTGATTGTTGTGAACTAAACCATAAAGGGTATGAGAACGGCATCAGGAAAACCAGTTTGGTTAGATAGAGGGAAATGTGTTAGATTCTACCAGAACTTTTTAAAATTTTCCATATGTGGGAAGAAAGCTCAAGCAGAGATGAACTTCATAGAGTACCAATGAATAAGAAGCTACTATCGTGGATAAAGTGAGCAGTGGTAGCAGACTGGATTAGGGTGGTAGAAACAGTGATATTGTTAAGTGACTAGAATTAGAATAAACTAGAATAAATTTTGCTAATGAACTCTAATTTTAGTGACAGTAGAAAGAAAAGATGATTCCTATTCTTCAGGGGAGATATGAGGTATGTTCAAAACATAGTACAGTGCTCCCTCACTTATCATGGAGGTTATATTCCATACACCCCCGTAGTAAGTGAAAATCAGCAAGTAGCGATATTATATTTTAGTATTATATGTATTTTAAGGCTTTATACACCTTGCCCACACTCTTATAAAACTTTCCCACACTTTTTAAAAACACTAATGTTCTAAGCCATTTTCTAGACTTGTAAACTTACATAATTCTAACAGCATATGTATACTGTATAGTACTACAAAATCCCATGATATAGCAAAAAAAGTCCATGATAAATAATTTAGATATTTTTTGAAAACCCATGAAACAATACGTCCGCCATAGTTGATCTGCAAAATAACGAGGGGCTACTGTATACAATAAATGTTCAAAAATTTATTATAGTAAAAGTTACACTGTCATCAATCCTCTTTAAAATACTCCCTCACTTTGAACACAGTTATCCCATTGTTCTTACCACTTTCTGAAACAGTCATAGAAGTCTTATGTCTTTATGATCAAAAATACAGTGAATGCTGCTACAAAGTGCCACCAAAAGGTAAGGCAGGTTGGAAAACAGTATAGCACATCCTTATCCAAATCATTCCTATGTTATGGCACCATGTGACTTTTGGCTCCTCTCCAAGTCAAAGTAACACTTAAAGTCAATTTAGGATATCAAGACAGACACAATAGCACAATTTAAAATACATATGAAAAAAGAATCCTAGAACTGCTTCAGAAAGTGAGAAGAACGAAAAGTGTGCTCAAAATGAGGGGGAATATTCTTAATAGGATTAATGTTAGCACACCTTTTACTGTAATAATTTTTAAAAGCAAGTTTGAATATTCATTGTATTTTTTGATTACACCTTGAAAATGGGTGAGTTGAAAGTACTCTATACATTACTGAGATAGATGAGGAAAGAGTAGGTTTAGGTTGGGAATAGATATGAAGAGTTCATGAAATGAATTGAGACTAGAGATATTTGAGTTGTTATGATACAGACGATATTAAAGCCATAAGATAATGCAAAGAAATAGCTCAGCGGATTAAAGCGCCTGCAAGCAGGCACAGGGTTGGGGGGTTCAATTCTTGGGCCTGCCATGCTGGCCCCGCCATGCTGACCCCACCCCCAGGGCATGCTGAGAAAGCAATTGGACTGGGCGTGGTGGCACACGCCTGTAATTCCAGCTCTTGGGAAGCTGTAAACAGACAGATCACTATGCATCAGATCTAGTAGTGAGACCCTGAACACCCTGTAGACCCTTGCCTAAAAATAAAAAAAAATAAAAAAAAAAAAAAGCTAGTGAAGAGAAAATGTTAGAGAACTAAGTCTGAGGCACTAAACATTTTAGTGGAAGGATAAAGATAGGGCAAATCAGTAACTATCAGTAAGTTAGCTAACAAAAGAAACAGAAGACTTTGATATTTTAGAAGTAGAGGGAATAATTTTAAGAAAATGTCGGGTCAGCAGTACCAAAGAACACTGAAAGGCTCAAAGAAAAGAAAACTGACTGCTGAATTATAATATACTGAAATAACCATGATGAGGGCAATCTGTGACATAGGCAGGAGATAATATATAATTTAATTAGAAACACTGTGATATTTAGTGAATAAAGAGGGAGTCAGAGTCATTCAACTACACTTAGTTTATTTGTTTTTTGGTAGAGCCAGAGATTGAACTCAGGCCCTTGCACTTGCCAAGGAAGTGCTTACTCCACTGAGCCATTTCCCCAGCCCCTAAACTTAGTTTAGTTGAATGACTCTGTGACTATTTATGCTGAGTACTTGGTATATTGGTGTTTGCAATATTATTTTCTTTCTTATCCTTTCCCTTTTTGTGTGTGTGTTTGGCTTATTCAGCCCACCCTGGGGGTGGGGCTGGCGTGGCATATAGTGCTGGGGATTGAACTGTGGTCCCTGTGCTTGCCTAAGCAGGCGCTTTAGTCTGCTGAGCTATCTTGCCGGCCCCTCCATTTTCTTTTAAAAAGAAAGTGGCATCAAACTCCTGGTCTCAAGTGATCTTCTTGCTTCAGCCTCCTAATTTGCTGGGATGATAGGTGTGTGCCTTTGTGTCCTGAAACACTGTTCTTTACATTTTCTTGAATAACTTTAAAGGCAAATTCATAAATTAGTTTTGCCATATGGAGCACAGAAAAATAATTTTAAAGGTCATATTTTAAAATATATTTGTTCATGCCAGTAAGAATAATCTAAGAGAGGCAAAAATTTATGAAGAAGAGAGTTGTGATAAGACTTTAAGCAATGTCCACAGATAGAAAAGAACTGATAGCATCTGTACACAAGTGAAGATTTTACCCTTACACAAGAGAGTGACATATCCACCATTAGGGCAGGCAGAATAAATTAGGTTTGATGCTGGAAATATTGTGTTAAATTTATGTTGGATACACTTATTTAGATAGCAAAACATGGTGATCTGTTGGCAGTAGTAAACACACTTGAAGTATGAGGAGAGGGCCAGGGATGTAGTTCAGCGGCACAGCACCTGCTTGGTAAGCACAAGGTACTGAATTCAATTCCCAATACAAAGAAAGAAACAAAGAAAAAAAAAAAAATGTGGCCAATGCAGAAGAGAAAGGAAAACCAAATTTACTATAGAATAATTTAGTATAATTGCACAGTAATTTTAAATTATTTTGGAATTCATACTATTAAGTGAGGCAAGCTCCATGGTTTTTGTTTCTCCTTCGTCCACATTTACTTGCTTGTATACTGACACAAAATAGGACAGAGTGTGGATTTAAACAGGTTTGGGAATTTCAAGGCAAGTATAATATAGAACAAACATGGCAGGGAAGTTGAGGATGCTTGTAAGGGACTGGTCACAATACCAAGTGATTGTAAGAATATGAAGTAACTAGAAAACCGTTTCCTAAAAAGTTATATGGTCCAGTGGAGACAGGATATGAAAGCCGATCTCCACATACAGAACCATGTGCATGAATTTTCAAAGCATTCATATGAAATACCTCTAAGATGGAATCAACTGTTAAGAGCTAACAATACAAACTGTAGTCAAAACAAAAGACACAAAATTCATTCACATAAAATATTAGAACATGAAATTGTAACGTCAGGAACAGATATGTAGTTGCTTGAGGAGGAAAATGGCAGCGAAAGGAGGGATTAAACTTTGAGGAGTGATAGATAAATTTATTATCTCCATGGTGTGATGTGTCAAAGTATATACATATGCCAAAACTGATCAAGCTACATACCGTAAACATGTGTAGTTTTTTTAAAGATAAAATACGTTTAATAAAGACTTCTTTAAAAAAAGTATAACGGAGAGTTGAAAATGCTGGCTTTAAAAGTGGCTATGATGTTAACCAAACAGAAAGACTACATTTAGATGTAGCATGGAGTTGGCTTTAGAAATACAACATTATGATTATTAATACTTTATATATAATGTCCCAAGAAAAATCTTTGGATAAGAACTCTTGATAATATACAAACAGTAATTAAGAGTCAATAACCCAAAGAAAAATGTTAACCAATGAAAAATCTGAATTATATTCCAACTTCCAAAAATCAATAGAAATTTTAAAAGCATGAAGCCACATACACATATTTTGCCACATTTGTAGTTATATATCTGATATCAAACAAGTCTTTTTTATTAATTGCATAGAATTATTTCCTCTATTTTACCAAAAATTTTACTGGGAAAGAATAAGAAGTAGCTTAAGTGGATTTAACAAAAAACCTTTTGAGAAAATTTCTCCTTAGAATAAATCACTATTCTAACACTGTCTTAAAATCACTCAATTCTAGGGTTCGAGGAGATAGCTCAGTGCAATAAGCGCTGAGTTCAATCCCTGGTTCTGTTTAAAAAAAAAAAAAAATTACTCAACCCTACAAAACACGAAATATGATTTATATATCAACCAATGGTCATATTTGAATGTGCACTCCATCTAGGAGTTATTTAATGATTGTATAAATTCTCAATCTTCTACTCTGGTTCACAAGTACTAATTTTGAGCTGCATGCAGTAAAATGAACAGTATATGTAATAGTATTCACTTTATTTTTTAGGGATTAATATCATAATGGAGAAATTTTTGTCTTCAAAAATGATCCTTGCAGAAATGGGACAAGTTACTATACTTGTACTGCTGTTAGTACAATTACATGTATTAAGAACTTTAGATGTATTTACTCAGAAAAATCTGTAGCCGAAGCAGGATACATTCAACCTCTCTTAAAACTGCATTCTTATTTAATTAAAGAAAATGATTTTTATGTTTGTAATATTTAAAATGGAAGATAAATTGAGGGAATAATACTCTCATTCCATTGAAAATAAAGTGTGGTCAAAATCAAGACAAAAAGACTTTGTACTTCTGATTAAGAATGCAATTTCCAATTTCAGTTGAATGATGTTTGTACCTTGTTGATGTTTGGCTTCTCCATCATAGAATTTTTGATGGCTTCACTGCTGTCCCCTAATGACTTCATCAAGAAAGAATATCACATGACAAAGAATAAACGTGAGATGTAGCATGAAAAGTACTGGGGGTATTTTAAAAAATTATATTTTAACTAAATTGACTAGAAAAGAATATGAAACTAAATTATTATTCTTAAATCTCATATATGTTAAAAAAAAGTATTGCTGAGAGTGCATAGTTAGGGTGCAGGACAACAGAATACATTAACCACCACTACAAATTTTGTTCTACCACATACAAATTTTACTTATTTTGAAATGTTGACATTAAATCAAGATTGAGCCTAAAGTACTTTATATTTAAAAATTCAGTGGCACTACTGGTAGAGTACTATCAAGAAAAAATAACATTGTTCTCTTCAACACTACTATGACTTATTTCTGTGATATATAACCGTTCAGGAAAACCTGACTGAGAAATTTCTGTTCCTACTTTTAAAAATTCTTTCATAGAAATTTGGCCAAAAATCGTCAATAAGCTGACTGGAGACAAACATATCCTTCTTAAAAGGGGGATATTAACAGATAAAGAAAAAGTTGATTCAAAACTTTCAATTCTCAGAAAATGAAATAAAACAGAAAGAGGAATTAGCAACAAAGATCACAGTTGCCTAGCCCCATGTTTTTGATAGGATGGCTCAGGCAATCTATCTGCAGCATAAGTAAGTAGTGTTCAATTTTCAAATAAGTACAAGTAGAGAAGACATTCTTCTTTAAATGATACTATATAGGAAAAGATCTGAAGGTAGGCTGGACTTCAAGGTCAGATAAAGAAACAGGTCAGAAATAGCAAAGTTAAATTTTCACACATAGAAAGAAAATAAAGCAACGGTCTGAAACTCTTCATCACCTCCCACCCATTTCTTCAGCTGAAAGATCACAACAACTTAGGATTATCATTTTATGCAAATAAATAGAAGGTAACTTTGTGAGTGGTCAAGTTTTTAGAAAAGATTAAATAATTTCATACCAAATCAATGAAGATAAGATTCTAGTGGGGGATACAGTTCAGTAGCACAAGGTCATGAGTTTGATTCCCAGTAAAAAAAAAAAAAAAGATTCTATTTAACTTTAACCTATATTTGCTATACAAAATTTTCTTTTTCATATCTCCATGTCAAAAAGTCTAAGAGGGGATGGGGAGGTAACTTGGCAGCATAAGTGCCTGCCTGGCAAGCACACTGCATGCCCTGTCTTGCCATGTTGGCCCTGGAATTGGGTGTGGGGGTGCATGCCTGTAATCTTAGCACTGGGAAGGCTGAGACAGGAGGATCACTATGAGTCTGAACTGTGTAGCAAGACCCTATATCTTAAAAAAAAAAAAAAAAAAGTAACATGAAGAATAAAACAGCAAAGCAGCAACAAAATATGTCGTAACTTCTAAATGAATAGAAGAGCAAATTAAGTCTACTGATCAAAAATTGCAAAGCCAGGGTGAAATGGTCATTTTGCAAATTAAAAAAAAATAATTCAGAGAAAATATTTAGCTTATTGATTGCAAAGCTGTTAGTTCACCACTTGTATTTATGCTTTCAATGAAAATAACTTCAATAAAAGTAACAAAGAAATGTAAAATATGTAGATGGATCACTAATCTACTGTTTTTATGCATTCTGCCTTGGTTATCCTACAGTATCCCCTAACACTTCCCAATTCACATATCTTAATCAGTCATACTCTTCTTTAGCATACTTGTTCCTAATTTTGTTTATCCAAACATTTTCTATAAATGTTCTCATGGTAACTCATATACTAAGACACACTTTACATAAGGTTTACAAATGAAACATTCACATTTCTTAAGATTTCAGGGTAAAACTAAGGTACTAATGTCAAAAAAAGTCTGAATATTATATATTCTATTCCTAGTGTGATCAACTTAAATATATGTACAAAATCAAGGAAATGATAAATAATGGTACAAACAACTGTCTTTTACAAATTATGTCAGTGATACAATGAGAGATATATATATATAATTTTCTTCTATTGAGGTTTGATGTCATGTTATTTGCATTATTTCTCCAGAAGTACCTCTTCTCCCTCCCATTAAAAAAAAAAAAAAAATTATCTTTTACTGCCTCATTTTTACAGCACATAATGATCACATTCATTGCGCAGAATTGGTACATGTATGTAATACATCATAATTCTTTTCTCATTCTGTCCTTTTTGTTTCAGATTAATTCAGTGCTACCCAAAATGTGGTTCACAGACCAGCTTACATTTGTGAACTTTGTTATTCGTTGAGATGAGATTAAAAAAAAAAATTGACTACATAATTATATCACTGTTTATTCACTTAATAGTTTTTAGTGCCTTTCTTAATGAAGGAAGCAAAATGTTCATTTACACTCAGATGTAAGTTTTCCATATTGACAAACTGGTACTTTCTTAGTAGCACTGAAATAAATAACCCTCAAAAAAATCCAAAACAAAAAGAAACTTTTGGTGATAACATCAAAGCATAATCAATCAATAGAACAATTATAAATTAATTTGAGTTTGCCTAATTTCATGTAATTATGAATAGCGTAAAGAAGAAGAAAACACATATGTAAAATGTTTTCAGTGTTAAAACCCAATTTCAGTAAAGCTTCTTAGATAGACTTAAGTGTAACATGAGAATGAGAAAATTTCTACTTTGTCCTTAATCAAAACACAGGAAGCAAGATACAGATTCTTAATATTTGACAAGAAATTCCCATATATCTCTAAATTAATCACTTTAAATTAATTTATGAAAAAATTATTGCTTTTCTTTTGAATCACTTGTTCTAGCATATGTTTATGATATAAAATGAATTTTCAAAAAATCTATAAAATGCATCAAAAATGGCTGAGAGACAAAAGCTTTGGAATAGAACAGTGGAGGTCTTAATATATACATACCTCATTGAGACATCGTTTCTTTGTGAATATATTTCTGATAAAAGTTTCTTGAATTTCCTCTTGCTTCACCAAATATTGCCAAAGCCTCTTTACAGACAGTGCCAGATGATGTTTGGATCTACAGAGACAGTAAATTTTAAATATGTACTTTGCATATTTCTGATTAAATTGAACACAATTCCTTGGAGCTATTATGAATGTTTATTAAAATAAATTAACTAGAATCACATCAAGTGATATAGGAAAGCAGCCAGCAAACATTTTCTTAAAGATCACACAGTAAACATTTTACACTCTGTGGAACATATGGTTTGTATCACAAAGCTCAACTCTGCCAAAGTACCAAGAAAGCAGTCACAACCGAAATGCTCCAAAATTCAAAATGCTCCTAAATATGTTAACTCTTAAGTGCTGATATGATGCTAAAAAAATTTTGGATTTGGAGTATACCAACCAGTATATGGCAGTAAAGGGAGAGTCAACCAGTAAAGTATGCAAATATTTGAAAAGCCAAGAAACTGAAAACTGGAACACTTTGGTCCTAAGCATTTTAGATGATGGACAGTCACCTTGTAATAGGGCTGTGATCCAATAATAATATAATTATAAAAGCAGTAAGAAGGCTAGATTTGGACATAGAAGCTGGCCACAGCTGGTGGATTCCTAACCTAGGGACACAAGATCTAACAAAAATAGGCATATTTTCTAGAAGACAACTAGAAGTAGAGCTACTCAGTGTTTTCCATTTTGCTATTGATAAATAATGAGTTAAGAGCTTCTAAAAGAACATAAAAAACCTTAATATAATAATAAACCAGTAAGGAATGTGTTTAGTACGGTGAACTTTTTTTTGTATAAGACTTTCTGGATAAAGCAGGCATAGCACTTACTTACCCTTTGGTTGAAGCTTTCTTCATGGACAGTGAAAGTTACTGATTGCTACTTTGAACAACACTATTCTAGAGCAGGTATCAGTAAACTACAGAGCATAGGCCAAATCTAGCATGCCTCATACTTTAAAAAATAAAGCTTAATGGACACTAATCAAGCCTCCACATTTATTTGTGGCTGCTTTCACTGTACCGAGGTAAGAGTTCAGGAACTGTAAAAGTACATCCTGAAACCCTGTAATACTTACTATTTGGACCTTCATAACTACCATAGTCATTACACAAAGGCCCACACATAAACCTACAGCAAACAATTAAATGTAGGTCTCAGTTTATTTTATTTTATTTTTTCTAAATACTAAATGACAACATTTTGATTTAGTAAAATTCCTACTTAAGAATAGTATTCAGAGGACAACTTACTTGAAAGGAGTGTTTGTAGGCTCCAATAAAGCCTTGTGGCGGAGAATTGCAGGACCTGCAGATGAACTCTCTTCAGAGGTATGACCTGAGATATAATTTTGAGGTGGTCCACCATGGATTTCAAGTTGTCGAAGAAGAACTTGTTCCCAACATTGAAGAGTTTTTAGAATGGCGTGACAGAGAGGGGAACTAACTGGAAGCTCTAAAAAGGGAAAATACATTTGACTCCCATTTGTCTTCAACAACAAAACTCTACATTTAATTATAAGAAAGCCTGATATAAGTTTTAACACATTTTAATGGGAGATATGGGGACATGGAAATTCAGCAAACCGAAAAAAGGTTGCTCTTCTCAGCTATCTAATAGAATGATGACAAAGATAGTTTTAGTGGGAAGAAAACTATTAGAACAGGAAGTCTGTAAGCTTTTCCTCAACTATTCAGGAAAATAGATTGAATAAAAACCAAAGCAGTCATACTTTTACTTCATACTAAGATATTTATTACCTGCAAGATCATGACCTGCAAAAGGATAGAAGGTTTTCAAATTGTTGAGCACCAATTGTACCATCGCCAACCGCATCAATGACCAACTAAAAATAAAACAAGAATGTATCTGTCAAAGATCTGCATATGCCACTTGAAGCTATACTTATAAGTGAAATAAACCAGACCCACATCTGTAAATATCATATTGTCTCCCTAGTATAACAACTTAAAAGAGGAATTACATATAGAAAGTTACAACACAAATAAAAGGAAAGCAAGAACTTAAGGAACGGACAATGAGTGGGCAAGGAGAAAAGCTGGGAAAAATGACAGGGGCAAAGCCATACATTTGTATGCATGAGATGGCTGGGGCAGTGATCCTGGGGTACATTCAGCAGGTTTTTGAGACCAGAGGTTGGCTGGTGAGACTCTCACCCTGACTAACTGTATATGCTGGTACCTGCGAGCCAGGCAGCTGCACTGAGGATGGTGATGTGTAATAGTGGGGTCACGCTTGAAGTGCTTGCCATCCTGGTCTTCTAAATATGTATTTCTTGTCATGACATACCATTTATTGCCATAATGTCTCTCAAGTAAAGGCTTTTTTTTCTTTAAAGGGTAATAAATTTAAAAAAAAAGACAAGAAAAAAATATGAAAAAAAAAAAAAAAAAAGATCTGCACAGGGATTTAAATGAATACATCACCTTTGACTCAACAACTCTACTACTAGGAACCTATCCTGAAGCTACATAAGAATAAAAAATATAAACATGCAGTAACTCAAATCAATATTATTTAAAGTACTAGAAGACTAAAAATAACCGAACTGTTTATCAGTAAAGTATTAGGTAAATAACTCATTTTTTTTTTTTTTTTGGTGGAGCTGGGGATTGAACTCAGCCCCTTGCGCTTGCCAGGGAAGTAGTTATTCTACTGAGCCCTCTCCCAGGCAATAAATCAATTTTTGAAGTATGATATTTTACAGTGAACAAAACAATAATGAGTTAAAATTTCTAAGTTAATATGGAGAAAATTTCAATATGTACTAATAATTGAAAATTTGAAACATAATATATGGAGTGCTGTTCTCTGCAAAAGCAGGGGGTAGGTTATATAGATGTATTTATTTTTGCAAACAGAGGAACAAACCAGAAAATAATAAAATTAATTATCTATAGATAGCATAGGGAAGGAATTGAATATAGGAGATAAAGACTTCTAATTTCAAATTTTTAAATAGTTCAACTTTTAAAAAAGTTGTATTAGCTATTTATTTATTTATTTTTGTTTTGAATTTTTGTACTTTAGGGAAGGGTCTACAGGGTGGTCAGGATCTTACTATTAGATCGGATTCATAGTGACCTGCCTGTTTACAGCCTCCCAAGAGCTGGGATTACAGGCGCACACCACCACACCCAGTCTCAATTGCCAGCTCAGCATGACCTGGGGGCAGGGCTCACACATAAATCTCTTAATTACCTTTGTGTGACAGGCTTATTTCACTGAGCCTAATGTTTTCAATGTTTATCCATGCTTTTGTCATGTGTCAGAACTTCCTTCCCTTTTAAGGCTGAGTAACTTAATTTCCACATTGTACATTCATGTGTCAACAGACAGTACTGTTCCTTGGTTACTATGAATAATGCTATGGACATAAACATACAAAGATCTGTTTGAGGGCCTGCTTTTGTTTTGAGAACTATCCAGAAGTGGAATTGCTGAGTCATATAGGAACTCTATCTTCACTGTTTTGAGGAGACACCATAATGTTTTCCACAGTGGTGGCTTCCATAATTTTATATTCCTACAAGAAGAGCACAGAAGTTACCCCCAACTCTGCCAATGTTGTTTTTTTGTAGTAGCCACTGCAATGAGTATCAGACTGCATCCCTCTGTGGTTCTGACTAGTATCACCTGAGTGATTAAAAGCACCTTTCCATGTGTTTCTTGGTCATTTGGACATCTTCTTTGGAGAAATGTCTATTTAAATTCTTTGGTCATGTTTAAATTGGATTTTTTGTTGTTATTTTTGCTGAGTTACAGGGTTTGACTTTTTCTTTTTCTTTTTTTTTTTTTTGGTGGAACCAGGAATTGACTCAGGTCCCGGCGCTTGCAAGGCAAGCGCTTTCCACTGAGCCATCTCCCCAGTCCCTGGTTTGACTTCTGAGTCATGTAAATGTTTTATATAGTATTTTCAAAAAGAAAAACCTAATTCAACAGGGGAAAAGAAAAAAAAAGGCTAGTGACATAGCTCAGCAGATGTGCTTAAGCAAGTGTAAGGACTGGGGTTCAATCCCTGTGCTGGCCCTGCCTCGGGGTAAAGTGAGTTGGCCACTGAGACCTGGCATGGTGAGGCACACCTGTAATACCAGCTCTGGGGAGGCTGAGACAGGAGGATCACTGCAAGTTCAAACTATATAGTGAGACCATGTACCAAATACCTAAAATGGGAAATAAACCCAACCCATAAGTAAAATTCTATTATTTTTTCAGTAAAGGATTGTCACTGCCCTTAATTGTGTCACTGCCCTCTGAAAATTTATGTATTTATTTTTAAATTTATGTATTTTTAAATCATGCCATTTGTTATGGTTTTTCTCTAGTTATAAGGCTCATGTAGTCATGGGGCGGCTTCTAGAGTAATTCTTGATCTAATGCTAGGATTAATAGGTATGAGTGCTACACCTGCCCTGGGGCAGATAGCCTGGATGCAGTATAAGGAAGAGGGACAAGCTTTCTCTTTGCCTTTGCTGCCTAAGCCACTACTCCTCCTTTTGGTCTTTACTGTTTTCTATCGCCATGAATTGCGACCCTCTGCCATGTGCCACTCTGCTTTGGAGCCAGCTGAGTATGGACTCAACCATCTAGTAACTGTGAGCTAAATAAACCCTTCCTTTCTTAGTTTTGGGTGTCGGGTATTTTGTCCCAGCAACGAGAAAAGTGCCCCCCCCCCTCCCCGCTCCTCGCACCGGGCACGCTGGGGTTAACCGAGCGCAGCCGGCGCGGAGGGATCTGGGGCGAGAGAGCGCGGTGCTCAGGCCCCTCGGCGAAAAAAAATGTCCACCTGAGGAGGCCCACAAGTTCTGTGGGGGGACCGCAGCCCGCCCCGAGGAAGGCGGCCGCCGAGCCCGCCCGCGCGCGGCCCGAGGAACTTTCGCCGGAGGCTGGACCCCGAGGAGCGGC